GAAACGTTAGCGAATAGCCCTCCACATGTCCTCACTGCCATACTTCATAGTATATGCCATCTCCTGACACCGCCTTGGTATTGCTAAGGCTTCCTGAGTCAGCCCTCGCTCCCGTTTGTCTGTCTGACACCGGTTGTTTTCAGCCATTTCTTTTTCCTCCTGTGACTGTCATCTCCTCTTGCTGGCGTTGTTTTAATTCACATTGGATAACATCTGTTGTCCTTTATCCCCTCAATGCACCATTAAAACAATGTTTTTGTCTATAACAGAATTTTGTCACCAGTTTGGGGTGCAGTGAAGGGAAATTACAACTCAGCGTGGAAAACAACCTCAAAGTGTTGAGAGAAACCTCTGGGTAATTTGTTGTTTGGTGGACTGACTGCTGGGTCTGTGGTGCCTAGAAGCGAGCACGGCACAGAGTAGAGGCTCAATCAATATTTAGTGAATGAAAGCATTTCAGTGCAAGCCATCACGGATCCTAGACCTTTTTAGATCCTTTCCTGCCACACGGAATTTCCTACAGCCTGACGCCCTCCGAACTCTTAGCAGGCTGCTCCGGATTGTCTTCCCTTCTCCTCTCAACATCCCATCTTTTCCCTTCCAGACTCCTCACCCCACAGTCTCTAGAGTTACCTGCAAAGGGCCATCAATTTCCTTTTTCTTTCTTAAATGAAAGTATTTAGCCCTTTCTGTGTTTTACTCTTGACTTCCATATTATGACCTAAAAGGCTTCAGTTTTATGCTCAAAGGACCCTATTGAGGCAGTTTCCTAGGCTAAAAAAAGTGTGTGTGGGTGGGTGGTCCCTTCCATTAAGATGGATTATGTCAGATCTCTTGAAAGCAGAAGTGATTGCAACCGGTACTTATTTTCAATGATTTTTATTGTCTTTCTGTTAAAGTATATTTTAATTTGAATCCCTTATGCCAAGAAGTTGTTTTCAGAGCAGGTGCATATATCGATAAATAGTCCATTCCTTTTTATTGTTCAGTGATGTTCCATTGTATGGATAATACCACATTTTGTTTATCCATTCACGAGTGGATGTATGTTTGGGTTGTTTTCATTTTTTTGGCTATTATAAATAATATAGCCATATGTTTTCATTTTTTCTTGGAGTGGAATTACTAGATTGTATGATAAGTGTATATATTTTTAACTTTTTGAGAAACGGCAGATCTGTTTTCCAAAGTGACTGTACCACTTTACATTTGTACCAGCAACATCTAAAGACCCTAGGCGTTCTACATGCTCACCAGCTCTCAGCATTGTCAGATCATTTTTATTTTAGTGGACTTATAGCTGTCTCATTCTGGTTTTAATTTGCATTTTTCTAATGACCAATGATGTAACATATCTTTTCATGTATTTCTTGGTCAATTGTATATATATATATGTATATATATATATATATTTATGAAGGGTCTGCTTAAATCTTTCCTCCATTTTTTTATTTGTCTGTTTGTCTTATTATTGAGAGATTGTTTATATATTCTGGATATAAGTGCTTTTCAAGATGTATATTTTGAAGGGGTATTTTTCTGATACTTTATTATTTCTATTTCTTTTACTCTCTTACAGTTTAATTTGCTCTTTTTTTCTAGCTTCTTAAAGTGAAAGTTTAGATCATTGATTTTAGAACTTTCTGCTTTTTAAGTGTAAACATGTATGGCTATAAATTTCCCTCTAAACCCACTTTAGCAGCATCCCACAAATTCTGATATGTTGCGTTTTCATTATTGTTTTTAATTTAATTCTGCTATGGTCAGAAAACATATTTTGTGTGAATTTAGTTATTTTAAACTTATTGGGACTTTAAAAAGTAGATTTTGTTTTCAGAATGGTTTTAGATTTACAGAAAAATTGAGAAGATAGTACAGAGAGTTCTCACATACCTATACCCAGTTTTCCCTATTATTAATATCACACATTAGGATGGCAACATGATTACAATTAATGAGCAAATGTTAATACATTATTATAACTAAAGTCCATAGTTTATTCCAATTTCCTTAGTTTTTATCTGTTGTTCTTTTTCTAGCTCAGGATCCCGTCCAAGCTGCCGCATTACATTTAGCTGTCGTGTTCTTAGGCTTCTCTTGATCATGTTAGTTTCTCAGACTTTCCTTATTTTTAATGACTTTGAAAGTTTTGAGGCGTACTGGTTGAGCGTTGCATAGGATGTCCCTTTATTGGAAGTTGTCTTATTTTTTTTCATGTTAAGACTGGGATTATAGGTTATTTGGAGAAAGAGGACAGTGATAAAGTGTTATTTTCACATTATATCAAGGGTATATAATAACATGATTTATGACTCGATGTTGACCTTGATTACTGGCTGAGGTAGTGTTTGTCAGGTTTCTTCACTGAAAATTTACTCTTTTTTCTCCCATTCCATAATATACTCTTTGGAAATAGGTCATTATGTACAGCTCACATCTAAGGAGTAGGGGCTAGTTTTGCTGGATATAAAATTCTTGGTTAACTGATTTTTTTTTCCTTTTAGCATTTTGGATATGTCATTCCAATACCTTCTGGCTTCCCTTATTTCTGATGGGAAATTAGTAGTGGATCTCATCTTTTTTCCCTGGTGTGTGACATGTGTTCCTCTTGCCGCTTTCAAGATTTTCTTGCAGTTTTTGGTGAGCTGTTTTTGTTAAGTAGGAAAAATGCTGAATTTCTTCCAGAATCTCAAATATCTGTCCCATTAGTTGTAAGGAGAATGATGATAGTGAAAATGAAGCAAATTCTATGTCACATTTAGAAGTATCATTAAGACATAACAGTCACTAAATGATGTCGTGGTTTAATTTTGCCACTTACTGATTTAGTTGAGTTCTTTAGAACTGCTAGCCAAAAAGTAGGTGAAACTGCTCCTGGCAGTTCTGAGTTCATGTACCTCCAGGATCCATCTTTTCTCCCTCTACTCCCTCAGTAATTCTGTTGGCCTTTTGCAGAAGCTTGCTTGAGCTTTCATTTCAGTGTGGCTTCTGATCTCTTATAAGCTGTTATAAACTTGACATCTCCAGAAGGCACCACCATTGTGTAAAAACTGTTCTGTGGGGGAAAAAACTTCCCTGTTGAGATGAAACAGATCTGAGAGTAATCTTATTGTCAATATGAACCCACTGTTGTGATTTTCTTGTTGTATACAACATCTGTTGGCTGTCTTGGATCCCTTGATCCCTAAAGACAACATGAACAACATCATGGGAACATTTTGATGGGAACAGAATTGGATAGCAAGAGAATCCTATTAGTATTCAATCTGATGGTAGTTAAGGTATAAAGAAAAATAATTAATATTGACTGAGCACCTACCATCTGTCAGGTGCCATGATAGACACTTTCTATACTTTGTTTCATTTTTAATCCTTATAGCAATCCTGCAGGGTAAGATTAATATATCCATTTTACCCTTGATATTATTCTCAGAGAAGTTAAATATATTTTTTTCTACGCAACTGATTATAGCTTCCTAGCTAAGAGTATATTTGGCAACACAGAAGATTATCTTATAGTTTGAACTTAAGTGTCTATTATTCCTCTAACCAGGTTTTGTTCAGTAGTGGCTGCAAAACACAATTTGATCACATGAGAGTCAGACCCAGGACTTTTGCTTTAATTGTTGGAGGAAGAGAAATTTTATTTTCCTGCTGAATTTGAACATGAGAGAATATAGGCACGTGGCTGTTGGCAATTATGTTGCCACACAAAGCCCAAGGAAGAAAACCTGGCTGAGGACACAGGGAAATAGAGTCAGGTCTGGGTGAAATTGTTTAACTCCTGGATTAACCCATACCTGAAGCCCAGTATATCTCTATTTTTTAGTTACATGAGCCAACAAATTTTTCTTTTCTTAAATCAGTATGAGTAGAGTTTTCTGCCTCTTGCAAATGAAGTAGCCCTGACTAGTATAATCTTCTCTTTCCTCCACTGAGCAAATCTCAGCAAAGTCTTCTTCGGAAAGAGAATTAGACTGAGATTAAGGCAACATTCTTCGATTTTCTGGTCCTGCAGTTTGAGGACAAATGTCCTTGGACCAGTCATGTCCTTTCTCTGGGTGATGATTTTCCCTTTTAAGGAATAAATGCATTTTTCTGAAAGCGGATTAAACTATATCTCTAATGGCCCCTCTTGGTCTAAAATTCTCTGATTCTAGGAAGGTCCTTATTTCAAACTAAAGTACTAATGACTCTAAGATTTAGTACAGGTTAAGACCTTGAGTTTTGAACTCAAACACACATACATTTGAAACTTAGCTCTGCCACTTACTAAATTGTAAGTTTCTTAACCTATTTTTACATTTCATTATTCCTAATAATAAAGGGGGATATAACTCATAGGGTGGTTGCAAGAATTAGATGAAATGATGCATATGTAATCACATGTGGTAAGGACTCGATAAATGATACTATCATTATTTATTACTCCTTCCCAACGGCATTTGTCTCTTAAAATAGCATTTCTGAAGATGTGTTTGGTGGAAAACAGTCCTGCCAATGCCATCACAAAAAGATTTTGTAGTCAAATACATTTAGGAAATGCTTATGCTCTGCCTTCTCCTATTTTCAAGGCACATTAGCATATTAAAAGCACTCAAAACTTCTTCAATAAATAGATTTGCTTGAATTTGTTGATCCAGCATCCCAAATATATTTGACTACACAACAGTTTTTTCCCTCACAGGTGCACGCCTATTAACATATGTTAACAAGAAAAGAGTTGAAAGCTTTAAGGTGTGACTTCAGGCATCCATCAACGGGTAGAAGCAGTGGCAAGGAGAATTTGGGGGGTGCGGATCCCAGACCTTCCTAAATGTGAGTTCTTCTTAAACTCTTCACTAGAAAATCTGGCTTGATCCAAAAATTTAGCCTATATCAGAGGTTGGCAAACTATGGCCCACGGGCCAGCCCCCTGTTTGTCTAAATAAAGCTTTATTAGAACACAGACATGTCCATTTGTTTGTGTCTATAGCCGCTTCAGTGTTACGAGGGCGGAGTCCAGTGGTTGTGACGCAGACCGAACGCCCTGCAAACCCCCACGTGTTTATTATCTGGCTCTTAAAAAAATGTGTTGGCTCCTGGCGTGATGACAAGATCACCTGTGTAAGAACTACATGAACTCAGAGCAGATTTCTTTTAGTCCATCTTATTAAGTTTTTGTTTTTTCCAGTTCATAAGGTAAGATGCTGTTTCTTTATATTAATAAACCTAGCGTTAGAAAAGATACCCAAAAGAACCCAACAACTGTTTTACTCAAAGGGAGCAGAAGAAGAGGGAAATTCCCTAAAAAGACGGGAATTTATGGCTCACAGGAATTTAATTGCCCTTCAGCTGTGCTTGCCCTTACATCCGAACTAGCGGAGTTCTCCAAGGGATTGCGAAGCTGTCCTGTTTTCTTATGAAATTTCCTCACGTGCTCTTCACGATGTACCAAGTTGTCTTAGGAATAAATGACATCATTAGGAGATGTTACTATACCTTTTGTCATGTCCCGTAAGTTGCTCTGTTGAATTACTTTCAGGGTAGCAGTGCGACTGAGGCGGAAAATAAACAGAGCTTCTTTACCGAAGTGGCTAAAGCAGCCTACTTTAGGCCCCATGGGTTTGGATTCATGGCTGGTACCACGTCAGGGGCCATCAGGGACATGAATGGGACTTCTGAGAAGAGGCACTCAACTGCCTGATTTGTGTCACACCATAAGGACTTTTAAGCGGCTCATATAAATATCTGGCTAAAATTTCTCTCTTCCAATTTTTGGAAGACAGAAAGCAACTGTGCCATATACAAACTAGGAATCCTTGGTCTCACAGATTTTCTTGGTGGTTGCAGAAATTAATTTTGAGCTCTGAGTTTTAAGAATCTCTGTCAACAATTCACTGAGAACCAGCTCCATACCATATACCCAGTATGGCAGGAGGGTGACAAATTAGACACCATTCTTGTCCTCACAGAGATCGAGAGTCTAATGGGGAAATCTACAACAGAAAAAGTACTCAGATAACTATATAATTGTCACCCGTGACACATACTCTCCAGTGGTTGCTAATAGGAGGGGTCAATTAGCTAGATTGGGTGGTCCAGGATGTCATGTCTGAGGACTTCACCCGAACCCTGAAGGACATCATGGAACCAGGTCTACCTGGGGAAAGAGGAGAACATTCCAGGTAGAGGGAGCAGCGTGGGGGAAAGGCTTTTAATGTGGTGGCTACATTTTGGAAAAAGATCTCAGAGCCTGGATTCTGATCTTGACAGATTCTTGAATTAGTTTAATTTCAAGTAACTTCACTGTTCTTGGGCCCAACCTCCCCATCTCTTAAATGGCAATAACACCTTCAACATGAATGCTTTATAGAAAACCATGGGAAATCTTGCTAATATTTTGATCAGAATTAATGGGAGAAAAATAGCTTTTATCTTAATATCATTTCATTTGTTAAAATCTTGGATAGCAATGCCAGACTGAATTTTACTGGTCCCTCAAGCAACCTCCTATTGGTAAAGGGGTGGAGTGGGGCAGAATCCGAATACTATTAAAATTCCATTCCACGTTTTCGTGATTCCAATCAACTGTGCCAAATCTGAGAAAATATTACTTCCTTCTAAAATGCTGACTGGAAGAAGAAAAATTCCCGGTGATATTTATGTAATTTATTGTGAGTTAAAAAAATAAAAATAACAATAAAGTAAAATAAAATAAAATTCTTTATTAAGCAATTTGCCCAAAACTCAACTGTACTAATTAAGTCTCTATGGATAAATATACTCATAAATAGTCATGTTTTATCAAAGTCAAATATAGGGCAAATACTTGTGCTCATGCACTAATAAACCTGACTTATTCAATAAAATCTGTGCTGTACTCTTTAAGATCCCATCCCTTAATACATGTTTAATAAAAATGTAAAGAGGGAATATTGTTTGAAGAAGAAATACATCCCCAGTACTTCCAGTTGAATCCAGCTCAGTGAAATGCAAATTTTATAAATTCCAATCCATCAAATAGAAATTTTACTATAAAAGGTTTTCATGGAAATAATAGCTGTCAACTATCAATTAATGCACACGGTCCCATTTTCCTTAAGTACGGTATTGAACTTTAATGAAAGGTTACTTATTCTATCAAATTGCTTTATACTTTGTAAGATTAAACTTAACCAAAAATTAACATCAGTATTCCATGAAGAGAGCATGCAAACAAAATTCACCTAAATGACAGGGAAGCCTAAATGTTTTTGTTGCACACTGAGAAATATGCTTTCAACACATTTTAAAAATGCAACGAATTCATTTTTTAAGCCAAGGCTATCAGAAAATTTAACCCATTCTCAACCGCGTGTCTCTCCTGTGTTTGTTCGCCTCTTTACTTTGAGCCACATATGACGTACGAGCATCATTTTTGTGTATGCCAATAGGGCAAGAGCTTAACTCAGCAGCAGCCAGCCAGTGTGGGATACGGTAGCAAGAGAAGGGGCTGGAACCCCGCGTGTCTGGGTTGCAATCCCAGCTCTGTCATTCACACGCTGTGTAATCCTGGTCTAGCAGATTGGTCTTCCTGAGCCTAAAATTCTTCATCTGCAAAGTGAGAACAACAAACTTATCTTTGAAGATTGCTCCAAATATTAAGGATAAAAGTGTTTGGACACAGTTTGGAACACACGAAGTATCTTTACAGTACACTGTAGCCGCACTTATTATTACAGAATTGCCATGAGGTTAGGTAAGGATGTCAATATCCTAATGCAGAAAGTCACTGCCCACTCAAATTAGATGTACATAAAGATGGGAAGGTCTTAATGGATTTTTGCAGTTTTGCGAAATGATACTTACTCAGATTTCCTAGAAGTAACATCTGTGTGCTGTAATGAAGCGTGATTGATAATAATGCTAATGACCCAGGCATGCTCTACGGCCTTCAACAACTCCCTAAACACCAGGTTGAAATTTTTCTTCCAAAAACCATGTGCATATCCGTGCGGATGGCATTGAGCAACGCTAACTAAATAAACAATGAAGCAGGACCAGGAGATTTGGGTTCTTGTTCCAGCTCTGATGCTAACCAAATGCCCGTCCTGGGACAATCCTTCTCGCTTTCTAGTCATGGTTTCCTCACCTGTCAGATGAGCTGGGCAGGTGTAAGTGGGAAAGTAAATAGTAGGGAGAGTTGGGGCTCTAGCCAAGTGGTAAGCACGTGTCTCTTCCACAGGGACAGCCTCCAGTCGGCTCCGGCTGACTGCTGCCTTGCAGGAACGTGGACTGAGTATTGCTAAATCTGCAACAAAAGTCAGAAATTCAGACTTGGCAAATAATTAAAACGGATTGTTTTAGAACACTGTGCTAGTCAAAGACAACACACCTACAGGAGGATTTCACGCTCGTGGGCGGCCCGTTTATAATGCCAGGCTGGACGTTTTGTGAAAGCTCTGTCCAGATCCACAGATTTCTAATTTTAGGCAAGTCTCCTTTTTGCCTGATTCTCAACACTATAATCCTAAAAAATGATTTACAAAATCCAAATAGATTTTGGCGTGAACTAAGCTGAAATTGACTGCTTTCTATCATGAATTAATATTAACCAGAGCTTGTCAGATACTAAATATTTGTTTTAGAAATACACACAGCCTCGGCTTTCATCTGGGTTAAGCTCTAATCTTTGGCCTGTCAGTTCCAGGATATAACACTGGATAAATCATGCTCTCTTGAACAGATAGATGCCAGGGTGGTTGTATACAAATGGAACAATGTGTCAATGAACACCCGAGTTTGGGTTACATCTGCTGTAAACATCGACATTCTTTTGCAATGAGCCCATTTGCTGGTTAAGCAGTTGCAGCTTGGGAAGGCTTGACGCTTCTGTGCTCAATCAGGTTCTAATGATTTCAGATGTTTGCAATTAATGACCCATTAGATTAATTGGTGGAGTACCAGAAGAACGGTTTAAGAATTGGGTCAGAACCACAGACAAGGTATTACCCGCCGGGACGGCAATCACCAGAGGCAAAACGGTGAGAAATTGAGTTCCAGATTTTATTCTCTACTCCTCACCCCTCCCTCCACACTCACTCCTTTCTTGGTAAAAAATTAGTACTGACCAGCATCTAAGTTTGGCAAACACAGAAAGGCAGGAGAAGGCTGAAAAAGGAAAAGAAAGAAAAATGATTGCTTCGTATTCCTCCAGTCAAGACTGGATCTTCCGAAGACTGAGACTTTCATCGGTACCAAAAAGTGACACCCTTTCTCAGTGTTTGCCCAAATCTCTCTCTCTGGACATTCTTTCTAGGCTCCTGTGTTTTATTAATTATGTAACACACCGGCCATCTTAGAAAAATGATGAATGGAACTTCAGAAACATGGAAATAAATAAGCCAAGCTTCAATATATGATTATGTAGGCTTGATATAAATCCCAGGGTAGCCATCTTTTAAGAAGTGGGTGTAAGGAGTTGAACGCCAGCCCGTGGCTACAGTACTTAAAACCTGGCAGCACCATGAGTTATCGCCTGGTGGTGGATGGCACTTTAGATGAATTTGTAATTTGAAAAGTTAAATTAACCCTGAAATATATTATTAGTTGTCTATTTCCCACTCAGGAAAGAGATCCTCACGTAAACAGACTCTTGCTGGCTGGTATGAAGAGTCATTTCGAGGTGCTAAGCTCAGAGACTTGCTAAATTTATGGTGGCTGTTATTTTTCATAGCAAAGAAAGTAAATTTTTGGGAAAGGACACCACCGCCGCAAAAACATATTTTCGGAGAAAATTCTGGAGCTTTCTTCATAGTCTGTGTTGTTGTCCGATATTTTGTTAGGCGTTCATTTGCTTATTTGTTCCCTTTTGGTCTCCCAGCTAGAAGGTGAGCTCCATGAGTCCAGGGTCTTGGTCATTTAGTTCATGGCTCTGTCTCCACTGATGACAAGAATCCTGGCACATGGCACGTACTCAGGAAATATTTGTTGAGTGAATGCAGAAATGAGTATTTGTGGTCACAAGAAAATGACTTTGGGATTCATGTGGTCCTGGAGGAATACTGGTTGGCCCAGGCAGGGACCTTGCTGCTCTGTGGACAGGCTCATTTATTTGTTTATTCAACCAGTCTTAGTGAGGACCCACTATGTGTCGGACCCTGTTCTCAACACTGCAGAGACAGCAGCTCACAGTGCACCGTTCTCTAACCTTATGGACCTTACCTTCTTATAGGGAAAAAGAAATCAGACACATAATTACACACGGGATGAATTTAATGAAATATTAGATAACCATTTTGGAGCAAAAAATACAGAAGGCATGAGGACATGTGATATGGGAGCCTGGTCTAGCTTGGAGAGACCAGGAAGGCTTCCCTGGGGAAGCAACATTTAACCTGAGACTTCAAGGATAAGTAAGAGTCAGAGAGCATTCGGAGGAGAGGGAAAGCATGAGCAAGGGTCCTGAGGTGGGAAGAACTTCATGTTTGAAATACAGCAAGCAAACCAGTGTGGCTGTAGCAGAGAGAGTGAACAGGAAAGCGAGGGGCCGGAGATTAGAAAGAAAGAAAGCAAGCTTTGGATGAGTTTCCTGGGTCTGTGAGAGCCATACTAGAGGTATCTGCCTTTATCCTGAGAGAAATGAGAAGTCATCACTACCTAGTAAGGTAGCTAATTGGTCAAATTTTAATTTTAAAAATTTTATTCAAATAGATTAGGAATAAAATTATTTTTCAATGATGAGAGGAGTCCGTCTTTAGTTTTTCTTGGATTCTCTTAAAAGAAAGAAAGTAACAGACGCTCAAAGCAGAGGAAAATAATAAAGAGTTAATGTTTGGGGGCAAAAGGCCTTACCTTAAGGATCCACGCATTAATCCAGTCCTACTCCAGGGAAACTTTGTTTGAGCCTATTTCTAAAAGTGGTGCAACTTCAGAGATTTTATGAGATTGGCTGGTTTCATTTTGAATTAAATAAGAAGTTGCTAGAAGTGCTAAGTGTTCAAAATGTGTTTTCCCCCTTTGCTAACCCTGTATATGTAGTGGCTGTCAATTCATGAAACTGTTTGATCAATTCTTCCTTCATTTGTGTAACAAACATACCTTGAGCACCTCACATATGTCATGCCTCAGTTGCTAGGGCTAGAAATGAACATAAAAATATTCTCCGTGAGCCATGTAAGTGATGCTGAATAAGTGTTTGATGAATGGCTGAATGATAAATAGGGTGTTCCAAGTCAGCAGTAGATACATAAATAACACAACCTGGCCCTTGTTATGAGAGATGTAAGAAGAAAAAGACAGTGCTCTATGAGAACCCAATCCTATATGTGCTTAAAAAGAATAGGAGGAGTTCAGGGAAGACGCTAGTGAGGAGATAACATCTGATTTGGGTTTTGAAGAATCAATAGGAGTTCAGCAAAGAGCAAAGCATAAACAACGGCCAACATGCAGAATTGCCTAAATCTCAGTCATTCTGTGATTTAACATCTTGTGTACCACATCCCAATTTTTGCCATGACGTTTTCCTTACTATAATCTTATTTCATATTTTTATTTAAATACTTAAAAGGAAAGAAACCTTGGGCACTGCCTGGTGGCATGACGGTTGAGTCCTTGTGCTCTGCTTCAGTGGCCTGGGGTTCACCAGTTCGGATCCTTGGTGTGGACCTGCTCACTGCTTATCAAGCCATGCTGTGTAGGCATGCCACATGTGAAATAGAGGAAGATGGGCAGAGATGTTAGCTCAGGGCCAATCTTCCTCACTAAAAAATGAAAACAAAAACAAAGAACCTTAGCCTTATCCTAAGTAGTAACAGCTATGAAAGCATGGTTCAATGTGCTACTATTAGATTTTCTTAATACATATTTGAAGACATGAACAAGCTATAGATTACCTCTCCATCATCCATGTTTCCCCTTCCTTTTTTCTGACAGACACCCAGTGCGATGGGTTATACATCCACCCTGCTTCCCTGCGATCCTGTGCCTCAAGGACAGCTGACCACATTCTCAGTTGAGGAAGGTAGGACCTAGTTAGTCTAAGCCAGTTATCAAAACCTTATTGCCCTCTCCAGTGATTGGTTCAGGGTGGTCATATGACCCAATTCTGGCCAATCAGAGGTAAAGAAGGCCTCCTGGGGGATGTCTGGGAAAGGTTTTTTTATTCTTAAAGAGACATCAGAAGAAGATAATTTTGCATCTCTGGGGCTGCAGAAATTCACCTTGCGACCAGGAAAGAAGTCAGCCTGCAGGTAAGGCGCACACATTAAGGATGGGAGAGTGGACACATGGAAAGAATCTCAGTGTTGATGAATCATAGAACCACTCTCTTCACCAGCTGAGAGTTGCTCTGCTTCTGGACCTCTTACTATGTGAGAGAATAGTAAAGCGCCAGATAGAAAACATTTTAGGCTTTACAGGCCAAGAGGCAAAAGTCAAGGATATTATGGAGGTCTTTATATAACAACAGGCAAAACAAATTTTTGCCATTTATTGATGAAATTCAAAATATAATAATAATTGAGTATTTGTTATAATACAGATTTACTAATGAGAAGAATGGAATTATTATTATTATTTTTTAGTGCTCCCTATCACCAAATTGTTTGCAAATATTTATCAAATGGTTTTTACAGCCATTCTTGATTTGCAGACCATACAAAAACAGGCAGTGGTTCAGATTTGTCTTGTGGGCTATAGTTTGCCAACTATATGGTTTTAAGGCATTTTTATTTTAAAATTTTTATTGGTTGAAAATTATTATTCACAAATAATCTCTCCTATTCATAGCCGAGGGCATCCTAATTGATACACATTAAATACTAAAATAAAAATTTCTCTATGAATCACCCCAAACTTGCATCCCTCTTGCATCCATCTTGCATCCATCAAAGAGATGATTAGCAAACTTTAGGAGATAATAGTTTACATTCATTAATCACTTATCATGTTCCCAGTGTTAGATCCTAAATATTTTATATGTCTGAATAAATTTAATCCTTACAAAAACCCATCAGGTAGGCATTATCATCATTGCCATTTTGTGGATGGGGAAATTATGTCACAGAGCATTTAAGTAGTTCTCTGCTAAAGTGGGTGGTTAGTAATCTCAGCCATTCATGCTCATGCTGGTCTTTCATCCCTATTTATGTGCAAACGATTCATCTACATAAACTTGTTTCTGATTTGAACTTCCCCAACTAGCTGGCACATCTCAGGGAAGTCAGATATGGAAACAGATGATGCAGCTTTAAAAAAAATTATCGTTACATTTCTTTATGGTTAAAGAGCATCTGGAGCAATTTAAGAAGTTAGTAGGGGAATAAGATGTTTTACAACATAATATGCCCCCAGATTGCCATACGAGTGGGAAACGTGTTGGTTGAATAATGGCTCCATGCCTTCCTTTTTTGGTATGCTTTATCCAGATTTTGAGAACACGATTGTAGTGAAGTTAGCTCTTTATTTACTTAGTTTTGAAAATTTTCCTTTAATTCTAGCATTCCAGGGAATAATGTAGCACTCCAAATAATAATTCATACTAAAAATGGAGAAATCATACCCTTCACGGGGGAGAGAACAAAGAATAAAACTGTGAATCATTAAGAAGCAAAAAAAAAAAAAAAGAGACTGTAAATAAACCCCTATAATTATGCATCACAAAAGGAAAGTCAGCTCCAAATGGTTCAGTAACCTCGTCACCAGCCTCGCTAATAATCATTGCAATATTCTCAGTCTCTCCTTTAAGATAATGAGCAGCACATATTGGAAAAAAAGTGTAAACATGAGCAACAATTTCTCATCTAAATAGAAAACAAAATGCAACGGCTCACCTTAAGGTTTGCTACTGAACCCTAGTGCAGAGAATTTTAATTTACAATCTGTCCCTTCCCTTAAAAGGTCAACCGAGGGAGAAATACAACAAAATTATGAAAGCTGCCTTTCGAGCTAGGCAATACATTTCCCCCTGACTTTCCCCAGTGGTGGTCCCATCTGAGAGGCACCCAGAGAATTAAGGCTTCAATAATTAACCAAATTTAAAGACAATAATTACTAAACAATTTGTCATCCTTAAAGCTGTACCACTGCCGTTAACATTTCTATAGTTCTCTGATTATATTATAAATCAAAAGTAATACAAAAAGACAATGTAATAATGAGGATTCAAAAGCTGCATCAAAAATTCAGATATTAGCTTCTTCCTCCCTCTGCCATCCTTCTGTTGATTTATTTTATTTTTCTCAAGCAATGTAGCCACAAACGCATCATCGTAATAAATGCCCCTTTTACCTCAGAAAATGGTTCGTATTGGTTGAGCCAAGAAAACAACATAGAGTATAGGGTTTATTATTTTTTTTTCTCTACACTTGTCTTTTCTTCTCTAGAATTTACTTTGAAAGATCAAAGAAAGAAAAAGAAAAATCTTTGTGGACAGGGAAGAAAGGCCTGAAAAAGCATTATGCAAAACACATGTAAAACAGTCTTGGTAATATTGCATGCTGCTATTGATACTTTATTTCTGCCTTTTTGGCCTGTCAAGGCAATCGATACGAGTTCTGCCCCAGACTCATATCTTTATGCTTCCTCTCAATTATGATTGTTCGACATAAAATTGGATCATCTTAAACATACCTACTGGGATATAGAAGGAAAGATGTCAGATATTTTTTTAAGATGATGTTTTCGTCTGTTGGAGTGGGTTAAATTGCTGTACTCTGAGCGCATTCTATTTTCCTGCTCCTTCCAGAAATCATTTGCGGCTCTGCTTCTCGGGTAATGTAGCCTACTTCATTGAAAAAAGAGCAGCTCTCAGTTTCGTTGCATATACATGGGCTTCTGGAGTGCTTATGTGTTTATATATCATGCACTCAATTCAAAGGCTCGCTTGCCTTTCTGCACTGGGCCGAGCAAACTCGTTCAAATGTCCCATCCCCAGCTGCCCAAATGCTTACGCGAGGATGTCATGTTGGCATAAGTGATGTTGATCATGAAGACTTTAAAGTCTATTTAAAATTTTCAAGAATGTTTTGCATTCCACTTGCACATACCCCAGTATGAGAGGTCTCAGCCATTTGTATCCTGTCATCTGGTAGATTTTCAAAAGTGAATTTACTGTCTCTTTCTTTGCCCAAGACTCCGCCCCACTTTAGAACTTCAGGACTGTTTGCATTAAGTCCTTTGGTTCATTAGTTCATTCAGTAAATGCATATTGAGTACTTGGAAAATCCTCGGCACCGTTCTAAGACACAATAATGACCAAGACCAACAAGTCACTGTGGTACTGGCATTTGGAAGAAGTTTCTAGAACAGAAACTCTCGAAAGCCTATGAAGGTGAAACTATTTTATTGAAAGCCTAAAGGAACCCATAATTGGAAATGACAATTCCTCATGGTATTTGGGGCTAGAAGCTCCTATTCTGTTAGATATTAAGCCACTGGTTTACGGTCTCTGGGGCCACATTGTCTCTGGGCTGGTCTTGTCCTGTGTGTCTGCTCCAGTGTGCTAGGGGTCCATTCTCAGTGCAACGTGCTGCAGCTGGAAGGAGAGGGACCCCCCACACACGCGACTGCCAGGGCTCCGCCTCTGTACCCTCAGTGGAGACTGAGTGCTGGAGGATGCTTGCAGGGAAGGGGGCCTGGGAAGCACCCCCAAATGTGCCTCTGACCGGGGTGACTGTTCATCTGTGCCTCTACAGGAATTGTACGGGCTCATGCTCATTCTTTCTTTTTGTGACATTTCTATGGTATAAATGTTGTAGAAAACAGACAGTCTAAGTCTTTGGCTGCTTGGTTTCCAGGAAGGGAGAGACATGAGTAGAAGAGCTGGCATTTCATTCTTTTTTTTTTTCATTTTCTTTTATTTTAAGGGCATTTGTAAAAAAATTAAATTTCCCATGTTACAAAATTAATATATGTTCATTATAGGAAATTTGGAAAATAGAAAAAATCATGAAGAAAATAAAAATTCCTAATATTGTCACTCCTCAGAGACAACTGCCATTAATATTCTATGTCCATGCTTGAGTGTACAACGAAAGATGGGAACTCAACATGTTTCCCAAAATAGAAACGTCTCTGAAAACCCCCGTACTCATATGATATATGCCCATTATATGAGTTCACCCAATAAATAAGTATAAAAAGCAGAGGATGAAAATTTCCTCAGAAAGGCCCACCCTCTGGAGATAACCATTGAGAACAGTTTGGTGTATATACTACCAGATTTTTAAGATATGTCTGTTGAGTATATATTTTCTATACAAATATCAATACATGCCATTCTTTCATATCCTTTAAACTTCAACATAGTCTTCTATCAAATGGATGTACTATAATTGAAGCTCTCTTTCAGTGGACATTTACGGTGTTTCTATTTTTTTAATAATTATAAATCAATTTTGCATTGTTATCCAAATATTTCCTCAAGATATACTGCCGTATATGGGCCAAGAGGTGCCATTTCTAACCAAATAGAAGGGAGACCATATTGGATAATTACGTATCAAAAAGAGAAACCAAGTAAAATAAGTAAATAAAAAAAAAGACCCACACATTGGGAAGTTCTTACGTGAGAATTAGAATAAAAGCTGTAAGAGACAGTACCTGAAGATGATAAAAGCACAACGAAAGAAAACTCACAATTTCTTTTAAAAGGAGCATCTAAAAATATAGAGGTGAAAAGCTGATGGCAGAGTCTCCTGGGTTCTCCCAAGGTTTCTGGAACATCTGTGACAGAGGCACAGAATTCTCTGCCATGTAGTCTGGACTTCCTGATGCTAATTTGTTGGCTCATGCACCAGCCTGCACACCAGCAGAAGTGTGGCTCCTGGGAGAAGCCTGGCATTTGTGTGTTAAGTCCACACTGGAACATGGAACAGGTCAAGCTCTGGAAGATCAATGTACTGTGATGGGCTCTGCTTCTCGAAAAGTCCAAATACGTACCTTCTAACTTGAATAAACTGTACACATTTGGAAGGAGAGTGGTTATGTTGTAAAAGGATTGTTCACTTTTAGAGCGTTTAAGCCAAAGCTTTCGTTTACCTAGGCAAATCTTCAACACATCTGAAAGAAGATTTGATTTTTAAATCACTTGAACAGGATCTATTGCGTGTATTTTCAAATACCCTCACTGGGATGAGAGTGATATTTGGCCACAAATATTTTCTCTGTGACAAAAATGGAAGGTAAAATTTTATATGTTTGTGTTTTCTTCCCATCTAGTTTCTATTCATCATCTGAATTATCTTAAAACAACTGGAAATGTTATAATCAGAAATTGGTCCAAATCAATTGTCCTTCATTTAAAAGTTGAGCCAAGTCTGCTCAACAAGGGTTGAAACATTGTTTCTTGATCTTTCCATGCATGGCTCCTGTTCATCCATACATAGCTGAGCAGAATTATTCTAAGCACATGGAATCTGTATACTCTCTCTGAGTCGCCATTCATTATAGTCAGCCCCAGCAAAAAGTAATATAAAAGAAATATTAAAAAAAGAAAAGAGAAAAGAAAAAAATTCTACTTATTAAGAAATACCTTTTAGCTAGTAGGGCTCCAAAAGAATCTGGGGATGTTAATAGTTCCTGAACTCAAAAAATATTTCCTAGTCTTGTGAATTCTGAAAATCTCTGAAGTCCAATACGGATCCCAAGCACACTGATAGGAGTGGAAATAGCATTTTCAATAAAAAATGCATAACAGAGTAGGACATGAAATAATGTATTTCTCTTTGAAACCATGAAAGTGCACATATTTGTCTGGAAATGTGTATGTGAAATTTAAACAACCCCTGAAGACATCCATCTAATTTTTTTTTGAGTTTGTTCTCAATTGAAATTGCACTCTCTCAAAGTTTGTGCTGCCAGCTCCCAACTTCACCCTCTCCCTCGGTCCTGTTTCCCTCAATTTCCTTCCTTTTATGACCCTTTTCGGTTGTGCCCCTTGATTTATGGTCATTTGTATGATTGCTCTGCTTTGCTTTATGGCAGTTTATGTCACACCGGTCTTGTCAGAAATGACTACCATAAAGTGAGGTAAAATGTCATAAAACATTAGTGAGTCCCTGATACTCAAGGTTCTTCAGAATAAGCCCTGACAGGTACCAACCGTAGAAAAACAGATTTGGCCATTTGAAAGGTGCAGCATTTGTAAAAATAATAAAAAAAATAATAACAGTCACTAAGGTTTACTGAACTCTTTCTGTGTGCCAATCACTGGGTGAAGCTCATTTCGTACGTTATCACATGTAATGCCTGCTACTTCTCTATATGGCGGAAACTATTATCACCCCTATTGTGCAGATGAAGAAACTGAGGCATGGAGAGTTCACACTGCTGATGCACACTGAGTTCAGTTGCCCTGGGGAGCAGAGGGATTGGTACCCAGGGGAGGCGATGGCGCGGGCCACCGATGATGCACACAACTTGCAGTACACGATCCCTAGAACGCAGACAAAGAGGAACTGTGCTAACCTGTACTAGCCAGAGGACAGCGTTCCTCTGAGCCCAAATCCCAATGGACAGCTCATCTTTACTCTTCCCGTGGCCCAGAGACTTGGTGGGGCCAAGGAGGTACTTCAGGTCGTTTCGCTGAGCCCCGCAAAATACATGAGATATATGGTAAAGAAGGCAGTCATTTTACTACTATTGACAAAATTGTTTCAAAAGCTATTTGAGATGCCAATACTGGTGAATAAAGAACTGTCAAAATCAAACAAACAAACAAAAACAGCCAGTAGGTGATAGAGCTTCGATACAGTTCTATCTCTCACACTCTTACTGCAGTCTCTGTTCTTAACCATTACGTGTTCATGTGTTGCGACTGGCCCCGGATGCAGATACGCGGTTGACTGAAATGTGGAGTTTAGCATTTGGTGGAGAGTTTCCACGCCCTGTAAGCCCTTGCTACTTCACACTTCTTCTACTTTCTTCTTCCTCCCAGCTCACAAGCCCCTCCGAACACTGTGATAAAGCTCCCTGCACTACATGCATTTACTGACCTTGCGACACACTCTAGCTCCCAAATATTTGCAACACCATTTCCTTCCCAATTCACCCAGCTCACTTCTGAACTTGTCCTTCAGCGGCTCAGCTTTGCCAGCACTTCCTCAAGCCGGAAACCTGAGAGTTCCCTTTGATTCCTCCTCTTTCCACCTTGCAGTCCTGTTTTTACTACCTGGAAGAGGCATCTCACACCTGTCCACCCTTCATGGTTTCACCTTCCGGAAGTTGGGTATTGCAAGCCGCTGTCACCTCTCTCCTGAACTGATGGAGAACCGGCTTCTGCAGACACTCCCAGCTCCCTCTCCCGTGTGTTCTCCATGGCAGCAGATGCATTCGCAAACATAAGTCGCGATTGTGGGGTTGTTAGCCCGCTTATCACTGTCATTGGCTGCCTTTTGTGCTCTGACTCTTGCCTCCCTCATGACCTTGTCTCGTCCTTATGTCCCTGCCTCATTGGCCTCCCTCCAAACCTGGAGAATTCTTTTCTAACTTAGAACCCTCACACAAGTTTTCCTCTTTGTCTAGAATTCCCAGCCCCTAACTCTTGCCTGCCTTCATCGTTTCATCCTCCGACAAATTCCTCTATCATCTTTCTTTAACCTCTACTACTGCAATCATTTCTTCCATAGCTCAGATCGTATCTTCAATGTTTTGTTTACTTATTGATGATCTCTTTCCCCATCTAGATCGTAAGCTCCATGAAGACAAGACTAAATGCCTATCAGGTCCACAGAAGTATTCCTAGCATTTGGCACAGGGCCCAGCGCAACGGCATAATAGATATTTGTTGAGAGGATGTACATGGCCTTACAGGTATGCCTTCCTTCCTAAGATGGATTGTGGGGGTTGGAAGGACAGATGTGTATCATTTGTTTCTGTTAATATGTTATAAGCACGAGTATTCATGTTGTTGGCATAACACGGATGTTAACTTAATACATAGTGGCTGACTGAATTATAGCAACCCTAACAAAACCTTGGTGCATAGGATCAAGAGAATGCATTGTACTGGATTGGGGATGGAGGGAGCATAAAAAGCGATGAATGGATCCTAAGATGAATTAGGACAACAGTTTCTATGATCCATTCAATTCATTAAAAGAAATATTTGAGCATTTTGATTAAAGATGAAAGAGATAAAGAGGAAAAATAGGAACCAGGAGGAAAAATAGAATCAGTGTATTTTTCTCTTTTTTTGCCCCCTCATCTGCTGTCTTTTCCAAAAATCTTTTTAGGTTTCTTCTGTCACATCCATAGTGAAGTGTAAATTATCGTTTCCAATATAGATGGCCATTTTCAGTGTATTTTAGCAGGGAAGAAAATTTCATTTGAGACTGAAATTTGGCATCTCTTTGCCTCTTCATGCTGAGAACTATTTTTTATCTTTGCAAAATGTGATGAGACGTGAATCCTGTTGTTTTTATTTCTAAATGGTGCTACACCAAGCCGAAAATGGACTGGGAAAATCGGAGTGTCTCCAAACTAGAACCAGCGTTTGCAGTCCTAATTTATAGTGCCTGCTGTACTATAGGGAGAAATCAAATCAGGGTCTTATAAAAAGGGGAAGCTATTTTTCATTGCACTCACGTCCAATCCCCTTCCTCTCCTTGCAAATTTCTTTTCACCCTGGCACTCCCAGCTAACTAGACTGCCACCCACAGAAAAGCCTACTACACTCAACAGCTAACATTTGATGTGACACCATTTGGAAGGCTGGCAACTCACAGAGCATATGGCGACTTTCAGACGGATTTGGAGGGACATTTGCCTGAGGGTTTCTCATGGTGGGGAGCAGTACTGGCCCGTGGAGCAAGCCGGTTCTTTACTGTGTGGGACTGCCCTGTGCGTGGCAAGATGCTTAGCATCCCTGGACCTGCCATTACATGCCAATAGACGTCTCCAAGTCACAGTGATGAATAAAAGGCCCCCCCTACCCCGGTTCTAAACCCTATCTGTTTTGCCCAAGAACCACCAAGAGGATTTTTAAAACTCTCCCCAGTCATCTCAAGATGAAGCTTCCATATTTGTGACCATGAGGAAAATGTCAAGAACAAGTCCTTTGATATTCTTAGGTGGTAGTAAGAACAACAGCAATAATTAATATCTTCTGAGCATTTATTATGTACTAGGTATCTTCAGAGCACTTTGCATGAATTCCCTTATTAGTCCTCCAGGAAGTAAGGATCAGGGTTTTAGTGACTATTTGCTTAATAGTGAGACCCAAATGTGTCCAAAGACCCACTCAAGGTCACCCCTTGTAACCCTGAACACTGGGCACTGCTGAGTTCATGGCTGGAGGGCTCTGTGTTGCTCCCCTAAAACTGCTTCTTCCGTTGCTTTCTATTTTTTATTTTCTCTCTTTATCCCTTTTTCCCCTGCATTATTATTATTATTTTTTTTTAAAGATTGGCACCTGGGCTAACAACTGTTGCCAATCATCCTTTTTTTATTTTTTCTGCTTTATCTCCCCAACCCCTCCACCCCCCCCATACACAGTTGTATATCTTAGTTGCAGGTCCTTCTAGTTGTGGGATGTGGGACGCCACCTCATTGTGGCCTGACGAGTGGTGCCATGTCCACGCCCAGGATCCAAACCCTAGGCTGCTGCAGCGGAGTGCGCGAACTTAACCACTTGGCCACGGAGGCGGCCCCTGCATTATTTTTTTTTTAATTGCTCTTTTTTATGGCTTCTTGCTCCTCTTCCAAAATCATTTAATCTATAGAAATAAATGGTGTTTTCTTTCTGCTGCTTACAGCAGAAATAATAATAGCTGGATGGATGGATCCAGCAAATTGGCGCATCATCACCAAATTTAGAAGGCATAGTTGTGGGATATTTGGACTTGTAGTTTCTGTAGAGTTGGTGAAATTCATTTTGTGGTAGTGGGAGGGGGACCTCAAAGAGATACGTGGTGATGCTCCAGGGTACCCAAAACGGGTTCAACAAGAGGCTCCTGTAGGCTCAACTAGAGGAGAGATGGCTCATATCAAGACGATGTGGTCAGAGTAACAGACAGTGCTTTCGGTGTGAGCTGCAACCAAGGGTCACCAGGGCAGATGTTGGGAATCCAGGAGTCGATCCGCAGTTGAGCTGCTTCTTCGTGATGGTATTGAGGTCGCTTCTGTGCTGAGGGATGGTATGCAAGAGTGAGTAAGGTATGTCAACTTGGAAAGCAAATTTGCCTGTTATTTTATCCTCAAAATGAGTTTATTCAGGAATAGCCAAAAGAATTGTGATTTGGATGTGCGTGCTATAGCAAACCATAGGCAAATCCAGAAAGGAGCGATGGTGGGGGGCAGGGAGCCGCTTTTATAGAGGAAAACGGGGAGTAGGGAGGGGCTGTCCTAAATGAAAGTCCATTGGGACAAACTTATAGCTCTGGGCGGTATCGTCTTCTCATTGGCTGAGCTGCAGCATTTCTCATTGGCTGGGCTGTTGCCGGGTGGGGAGAGAAATTTTCCTTCAGTAGTAAAGTAGTTTTACTTCCTGTCCAAGATGTAAATGTCCTGTCTCTTCCTGGTGTAATTGATGATGTATGATAGGGCGTGAGATCGCCCCCCTCCAGGCCTTCCCAACTCCAATTTAGTTAAGGTCTCTTTTGTTAATTTCCATAGATATAACCCCAGCTCTCCAGGAGTTCATAGCCTGGTGGAGAACACTGAAACGTAAATAGTATCATGCCATAAAGTTTAGCTTTATTTTTTGTTTGATCCACTATGGCTCCCATACCTATACCCTCCAGTGACAGCATTTTCTTAAACAAAGGTAATTACCTCCCTAAGAATATTTCTGTTTGAGGCTAGTAGGATGTTAGAGTTTCAAGACCTTTATATTTTGTACATATATACATGCCTTAAAAAATAAAAATACTTTAAACATCAATATAAAAAGGTTGTATCGTATTGTGTGAGCATGTGCTTCTAGGGCAAGCTCTTTTAGCTATGGAGACTAAAAGGACTTTGAACTTGAATTAGACTAGTGAATCAGTACACAGAGAAGGGAGTAATCGGGTGCCATGAGGCTGGGGAGATCCAGAATTCACGCCCAGAAGCATGCCAGCTTTGGAGGCCACGGTTCCCAGGGCCACTGTGGCATTCCCAGGGCTCCTCTTGGATGCCACTGCACGTCTTTGGGGCCTGGGTGTGGGGCAAGTCCTGTTTCCCTTACTTCTTTTCGTATTCTTACAATAAACCCTAAACCCTGGGGTAACATGAGCACAAGCCTGTACCTCCCAACTAGGAAAATAAATACCTTGATGCCATCAGTTTGTATTCTATAATTGTAGGGAGGGGAGAGGGGAAAGAGGAGAGAAACTAACTCACCTTTGGGACAAATTCTTGCTCTGCTGAGGTTGGTGGAGCATTTGGAAGTTAATCTGTTGAAGCAACTGGAATTCTCTGGGCACAAGCCAACCCACAGCCGAGAGGTGGTCTAGAATTGTTGAGAAAGTAAAGTGGTTCACAGGAAAAGACTTGCCTCTAAGTGGATAAGTAGGTGATTCATGGGCAGATAATGAAGATTTAGCCAAGACGATAAGAAAAATAATGGAGCATTGCGAAGGACTCATTTCAGACATCACCTGCTCAGGGAACACTGCTCCGATGCCCTTCCTCCCCATACAAGACTGGCTTTTGTCCCGTTCCTCCAGGATTCCCTACTGACCTGTACATATTTCTCTCTTCTTTCCTACTGCATTGGATTATAATGATCTGTTTACTCATCTGTCTCTTCACTGGGCTCTGGGATCCCCGGAGGCAGGGCTGTGTCTAATTCATCTTTATATCCTCAGCCTCCATCCGATAGCCTCCATATAATAGGCCCGCAACGAATTGTTGAGTGAGTGAGTGAACAAATTCACTCCTAAGGGTTACCCCATGTACTTTTTAAGGAAGGAAAAAGAATTCATTTTAACTCGGATATAGGTTTTCTTCCCCAAAAAGCATATTGATAAAGGACAGCTACTGACTTCTTCCAAGAGAGAAAAATGGTCGAACAGTCTTTCATGCTATATTTCAAACTTATGTCAACTTTTCTTTTAAAAAAAAAGTCTGTCCACCAGCACTCGTATCATTTTTCAAATTTCATGTCGTCCTTTTTCAGATGCTGCCCATCCATCATTTTAGGCAGAGAGTATCCATCACGATAGGAGCTAAATAATTTTCAAAGCTGTCAGGGAATGGACACCAGAAAGGTCCCCATCTCAGCTGAACAGTTATCTGGGGCTGGCAGTGACGGTCCTGCTGGGAGGGGAGAGATGGCATCCTGGGAGAGCCTCTCAAATTGGTTTCAAATGGAACAAAGAGAAAAATTCATTTTAGAAGTTAGACCTCAATTCTGCACAAAAAAAGTCACCTATTTACTCATCAATATCATAGTTAGGTAAGAGTTTATTTAAAGAACAGGTTTTTAAGTAAAAATAAAGTCTATTTTTCTAATGACTATGTTTTCCTTTGAAATATTTATATATATAGTTTTTTTCTAATTTTAAAAGTAAATCATTTTTATTTGCAAAATCTAAAAAGTATAAGAAAAAAATAAAAATCATGCATTATTTCACCATGCAGAAATAAGCACTGTTAATATTATTTTTGGTGCATTTTTCTTACAGTCACATACATGTGTGTACATGTACACACACACGATGTATATACGCATATGTGTATATAGTATAATTATTTTTTACTAATTTGGTGTTATATTCTTTACGGAGTTTAACATCCTACTTTTCTCACTAAATTATGTCTTAAACATTTTCCTGTGTCAGTAAGTATTCTTTGAAAACATGATTTTTCAAGGCTACATTATATTTGAT